AAAAATGAGAAYTTTTAAATAGTTGATTTGATATTAATATTGATATTTTTTTTTCAAATGTTTATGATATCTTCAAATTTATATTTTATTCAAAAATAAAATCATTATTGCTTTATTAAAAACACATAAAATCGTACTATAACATCAACAGAGACAAATAATAAGATAGCACATTAAAATTGAGATGTCTCTCGCTGCATTGCGCGAGTACTGTTATAGTATGTATGTATGTATGTATGTATGTATGTATATATATATATATATATATAGGGTACTCACGCATTGCAGCGAGATATATCTTGATTTTAATATTTCATTTATTCTTTATCTCAGTCGATGTTATAGTATGGTCTTATGTGATTTTGAAAAAGCGATGATGTTTTTATTTTTGAATAAAATATAAATTTGAAAATATCATAAAAATTTGACAAAAATATATCGATATTAGTATCAAATTAACTATTTAAAATTTCTATTTTTTGTGTTATTTTTTTTAATTTCAATTTTTTTTATTATAATTTAATTTAGGTTCAATAACGAAGTAATTTATATTTGGTTTAATAATATAATTTTCTTATAAAAATAATAAATAATTATTTTGTTAGAACTCGATAATTATCCTAATTATATTTTAGATTTTTTATATTTTTAAAATGAGATGTTTATCGTCTAATTGATTATGTTTATCTGCAGTTAGTTATACAAATTTAAATATGGAGCTTTAATAAGTTGTATTTCATACATAAAAATTAATTTTTAAGAGTTTATGTCAAATACTTTATAATATAACATGAAAATTGATTAATGTGTGTCTTTGAATGTGGAAAGTTAAAAGTGGAATATGTTTCATGTTAAAGTCAAGATGTAGTTGATAAAATGTCAAATTTTCACCACAATCATTGCAAGAAAGGTGTGTTTTAAGCATTTTATTATAAAAATTATAAATTATATAATTTTTATTTTGAAAATAAATATAAATATGGTATTCAATTTATAAATTCCATATTTGTATGTAGTATTTTTTATTTTGCCATATATCAGGTCACGTTGACAATTTACGAGAGGTACACGTTTGATTTTATTAGAAGAAGTAAAGGTTTTATCGTAAATCATGTAATTTTTATATATTAAATGTTTCCAAACTTTATATCGCTATGTGTTAAATATCAATCGACTTTTGACATAATTCTCACTTTATATAGACAGTGAATACAAATAAAGGTGAAAGTTCAAATAAAATGGATAAAAAAAATTAATAGCGTACTGATAAATTATTCATATGTGAATCATTAGTATATCAGGATGAAGATGCGTATGTGAATGCATGTTAGATTATATACCTTTTATCAACTATTCTCATATGATATTGTATATGTATATCCATCATTTTTTTACCGATTATTCACATATGAAGGGATACTCAACAACCCGACCAACCAAACCCAACGCAAAATAACTCAACTCGAAGCAACCCGATGTCTAATCGAGTTGTAAAATTTTTAAACTGCAGGTATTGTGTTGATATTCGGTTACTATTGTTTGAACCCAACCCAACCTGATGAGCCCGATATCTTTTTATTTTTTGGATTTAATATGATTGTTGAATTTATATTAATATATACATGAGACAATTACACTATCATGTACGCTCTTCATATACACATATTTTCAATTTATCCACATCTCTATATAACTCATTCATATATATGTTCAGTAACTGTGAACATATATACGTAAATTGAAAAAATTAATTGAATATGATATAGTAAGAAGTATGAATAAGTTGTATCAAATGATTGGTGATGAAAAAGAAATTATGAATAGAGAAATAATAGATTCCAGGTTAGAAGAATATCTTAATGTACCAAAGTATCAACTCGACCAACTTGACTAACCCGACCAACCCGTACAGTCTGGGTTGGGATGGGTTGCACTTTGGTTTGAGTTGGGTTGGATTAAGATTTTTCAAACCGCAAACATTGGATCGAGTTATTCAAATGTTTTCAACCCGATCAACTCAATCCATCAACACCACATTGTATGAATCATTCGTAATTATTATTTTTTATTTGAATCTACTTTATAAATGAATTAAATAAAAAATATATGGATAAAAAACAATTACGTGCTAAAAATTGATTGGTTGGAAAAGAAGAGGGGATGACATTTGATGTAAGTTGATTTGTCGGAGTATGAAGATGTTTGTGAGTGGTTGAACTGAATTGGGGTAAATATGAAAAGGTAAATCAGACAGCCAATTGTGTGCTGATTACCATTTCTTCTGGTTCAAATGGTCGTCTATTAGAGATCTTTGTTTATAATATTCAGGCGGCCATCTCCAGTTCACATCACCGACCGACGTAAAGAGGGAAACAGAGGGAGTGGGCCCATCAATGGCATCAATCTGCACTTATAAAATCCCTCTCAATCTCTCCAGAACATTGCGATTACAGAAAGGACAACAAAATCTCTCTTCTTCGTAACCAAAAGGTAGACACCTTTCGCAATTTCTCAAACTTTCACGTGATTTCTTGATCTGGGCATTAGAAATTTCTGTCGAATCTTGGAAATTCTTCGTAGTCTAATATCTACTGTGGATTTTTTTTTTCCTATTTGCAGGGTTTTTCTTGTTTGTTGTTTGTTTCATCAGTTTGGGTACCAACTGTTTGTTGAATTGTCACAAAAAGAGTGGATTTGGTCCAATTTTTGATCAGGGGTCCTCGCTCAATCCTTTTTTCATCCCCAAAAACTTTTATGGAGATTTCGCAATTCAGAGGATTTGCAGAATTGTCAGGAATTGAGGACCCCTGTTTCACTTCCCAGTGGCCATTCAACTCCTTTGATGATCAACTCACTTCCATGGCCACGGATGCAGCTGCATTTGGAGAAAACACCCATTATCTCTATGCTCATGCGCCTGTGTTTGACCATCATAAACCTGTTATGGAACCATCTCCAAGACCAACTAAACAGCTCAAAACCAGCAGTTGGAATTCATGCATCAGCTCTGATCAATCCATCATGAATCAGAACCTACATTATGTGAAGCCCAAAGAGGAAGGCACTGTATCTTCCAAGACCACAATTGGCTTCAATTGTGACACCTTCCCATCATCCCATCTTCAGTTTAACAACCAAAACCACCATGGCGGCGGTGGTGGCGGCAGCGGTGGTGGTGCAAAAATGATAGCCACCAGCACTACCCCTAGAGTCACTACACCTCAAGACCATATCTTGGCTGAAAGAAAGAGAAGAGAGAAACTCAGCCAGAGGTTCATAGCCCTCTCGGCTCTAGTCCCTGGCCTTAAAAAGGTGACCTTTTTTTCGGAATTCTTTATGAATCTTTTACGTTCGATATGATCGAGCTTTCTCTTATTATACGATATTATATTACTATTTATAGATGGATAAGGCCTCTGTTCTTGGAGATGCAATCAAGTACTTGAAAAACCTCCAAGAAAAAGTGAAGACACTTGAGGAACAGACCAAGAAGAGATCAAACGTAGAGTCGGTGGTTTTTGTGAAAAGATATGAGGTGTTAGCTGATGGTGGTGAAATCTCTTCATCGGATGAGAACTTTTCCGGCAGACCAGTTCATGAGCAACTACCGGAAGTGGAGGCAAGATTTTCCGGCAAGGATGTCCTAATCAGAATTCACTGTGAGAAAAAGGCAGGTGTTGTGGAAGAAACACTGGCTGAAATTGAAAAACTCCACCTATCCATCATCAATAGCACCACCATGACCTTTGCTAGTTATGCACTCGATATAACCGTTATCGCCCAGGTAAAAAAAGAATGCTTTTTTCATCCGTGAAACTCATCGATTCCTAATCTTTACATTTCAAGATCATGTTTTTCTACAATTTAATCAATACCCATTTTGTATTTCTTTCAGATGGATCAAGAATCCACCATGAAAATGAAGGATCTTGTCAAGAATCTACGTGCCGCCCTCAAACGGTTTATGTGACACTTCTGTTTGTTCTTCAACCTTTTTTCGCCAAAAATGCTGTATTCTGGTAACCAAGGCCTGGTGTTCACCACACTTTTAACCATCCACATGCCTTAGAAACTTGTTTGCTTTGGGGGTTCATTTTGCAGGAGGGTTTTTTCCAATCTTTTTTCATGGTTGACTTGTTGACCATGTTAACTACCCTCCTATGGTAAAGTAGCAGCCTTCCATGGCTTTTGTGAGGCATTTTTTCTGTTAACTTTTTCCCTTTTCCCATTGACTTGAAATGGGGTTTTTGAAGGTGGATGAACAACCAGAACTTTGTATCAGTCACTGTGTGTTTGGTGATCAATGTTTTAGAGGCCTCTTTCTGGGCTCTTTTCTTATGTTGTATGTTTGTAAAAGCTTTGATTTATGGTAATGAATAACATTTTGATCATAATTTCTTTTTGAATTAATGGTTTCCTATGTTATGTAATTATTTTTGGGATCGAAAAAGTATTATCTTACGTGGATTCTGAATATGACATTCTTTATTTCGTTTTCTGTATGATAGACTTCGGTTATGAGGTGTCGGTCATGAAAAGCTATTACTTGAAAGAGTAGACAATCATCAATCACTGCATAATGTTAATCTGTAGTGAGATTCTCAAATCGGAAGTCCACAGTTATGTTTAGCAAAGCAGTTGATAATCTTGTTGTTAGCTGAAAAATTAGTTGTTATCTTGTAAGTTAATCACATATGTGAATCGAAGAAACTAGATGACAATTCATAATTAAAATGGCTTAAAAGAAAAATGCAATGAATATTTATGTAACATAACGGTGTCAAAACTGGAAAAATGAAAGAAAAAAAAAAAAACCCCAATTAAGCAATTGAAGTACGTATTTTTAGCTTAACAAACTTGTCTCTTTCAATAAACTCAAAAAATGAGTTAGTTTATGGCCATATGTTAGCACCTTTTATGAATGATTTACAAGTATTATGAGAAGTTTGGTTAGAGATATTAGGCAGTTATCAACAAGAATGAAAATAAAATAAATTGTTTGGTTTTATATAATACTAAAAGAATACTCGCACAATACAGCGAGATACATCTCGATTTTAATGTTCTATTTTATTTTTTGTCTCTGTCGATGTTATAATACAATTTTATGTGTTTTTAAGAAAATAATAATGATTTTTTATTTTTGAATAAAATATAAATTTGAACATATCATAAAAATTTGAAAAAAATATATATCAATATTAGTATCACATCAACTAGTTAGAAGTTTTATTTTTTAAATAAATTTTTTAATTTAATTTTTTATTATAACTTAATTTAAGTTTAATAAGGAAGTACTTTATTTTTGGTTTAATAATATAATATTTATAAAGATAATAATTAAAGATTTTGTTAGAACTCAATTATTATCCTAATTATATTTTAAATTTTATATATTTAAAATAAGATGTTTATTATGTTTTGGATTATGTTTATCTACCGTTAGTTACACGAATTTAGATATGGAGCTTTAATAAGTTGTACTTACGCATAATCTACTTGTAATCTTGAGTTTTAAATAATATACATTATTAAACAGTACTTTACGCATAAAAAGTGGCTTTTAAGAGTTTTTGTCAAATGTTTTATAATATAGTATAGATAATGAACCCATTCCCCCATAAGCCCAAATTTGATTCAAGGTTAATAATTAATTTATATTAATTAATATTAAACTTTTATTAATATTTATTTATAATTAATATTAATGAAGGTTATAATTGAAAAAACCCGACAATAAACAAACATAACACTACTCCAAGTAGCATTTCAATTAGAGCGTTCGCAAGAACTACTAGAAAATGGTGAGCGGTAAACGGGAGCAAAGCAAGGGAAAGAGAGGTAAACACTTCCTCCATCTTTGAAATTGAATCAATAAATGGATTCAGAAGCATCAAACCTCTCTTCACGGAATGGTCGAATTCGTTTCTAGCAAGTATGCAACTGGCCTTAAAGTCTTCAATTAGACTAGAGCCTTGGATTCTTCTAATTTTCAATGCAAATCTCGTATTGACTTTCTTTCACCCTACTCTAAGGACAAGCACAAGAAAGGATATCCAAGCAAAACGAGCCAGAGGGAACACTCGCCAGCAAGCACCTAGATAGACTAAAAAAGGGGGAAAAAGAAAGAGACCGCACGAAAGCAGCTTTCCTCCTGAAGCTTGACATGATGAAGGCGCTTTACCCCCATGATGTGGTAAAGGGGTCAGCGACATCAACAGTTGAAGAAGTTTTTTTTTATTAACCTGGATATCTAACCCGCTATGCGAGCCGACTAATCCCAAGGCAACCACCTGGTTTACAGGTAGTCCGAAGTCACCGCATTTGAATCTCCGTGGCCACAAGGGGAAAAAAAAGAGACCGCACGAAAGTAGCTTTTCCTTCTAAAGCTTGACATGATGAAGGCGCTTTACCCCCCATGATGTGGTAAAGGGGTCAGCGACATCAACAGTTGAAGAAGTTTTTTTTTTTATTAACCTGGATATCTAACCCGCTATGCGAGCCGACTAATTCCACGACAACCACCTGCTTTGCGGTAGCCCGGAGTCACCGCATTTGAATCTCCGTGGCCACAGAGGGATTTTTGTTCCTTTTTGGATTTGAACCTAGTACCTCCAGACACTTTTGACCTTTGGAGCCAAGTTCAAACCAATCAGACACCACTTGATGGCATGATTCAAGCAAAAAATGGACAGCTTATGTGAATCCAAACGTACACATATAAAATAAGCTAGCTTATTTTGCCAAACAGTGCCTTTAGCAAAACTTATTATTGTTTTCAACGTCAACACCGTCATCAATTTATAACGCGTCAACATCAATTTGTCATTTTATTACCAAAACGGCATCGTATACATTTATTGTTTACATAACTTATGTGAACACCGACTTTTCTATTCGACTGCTCCATTAAGACCGTAAAGCTTACTATAAAACAAACAATAATTGTTATATGTCGAAATTTAAAATCAATATTTTTATTTTATTATTTTGTAACACATTTAAAAACAAACGTATTTGGTCAATGGTTTTATTTAAGTCGATGGAAGTTGGTATTGAGGGTTTGACATTTATGAGGAAAACGACAAAGAAATGATTCTTTCCCTGTGAATGAATGCATCTCTAAATTCCAATCCATTTCCTGTTTTTTTTCAATACTTTTAGGTCATAAAGTCATTCAATTTTTACAACCAATTATTGGATTCCAACACATCCCTAGACATGTAAAATTCCCAAAATAACCTTTGTAATCTGTAATTGTAGGATTCAGTATTTGATAATGTTTATCTATTCGAATGCTTTCAAAGGCGGTGGCACTACTAGAAAACAAAGTATCAGTGATGGATATTTGCAACGGGAAATATCCGTCACTAATTCTTCTGCACCCAACAGAGTAGTCGAGGTGCATATGAATTGGCTTTAACGTGTACGTTTAGAAAAAATTGTTTCGTTTTATTTGATTTGATTTTTAATTTGTGAAACTGTATATATATATCAATTATTTGCTGGTTAATTATCTAGGATTTAAGTAAACCAAACTATGTACATGTTTTACTTGTATAATATTGAGCCAATCAACGTCAATCCTACTGGTTCAATCAATTTCATGTTTTAAATTACTGTAAATATTTTAATATAATATTAATTAATTTAAATCCAACAGTTTAATTTATTTTAAATTTAAGATAAATAAATAAAATTCAGTTCAATCAATTAGAATTTTCTTTCGTTACCGATCAACTATCGTTTGGATAGATGAAACTAAGGGGCCGTTTACTAAATATTTACCCGGTAAGTGCTTATCAGATCATTTTACCTTATCGGATGAACATGATAAAGATTGAGAATTTTATCCGGTAAGAGCGATGATAAGAACCAAAAGTCTTACCTAGTAAGTAAGAGTGATGACTCTTACCTGGTAACCGCAAATTATTGTCGGCATATTTTATATATGAATTTAAAAAAAAATACATATGGTGTTTTAAGATATACAAAGTTTAAGTCTAATATATTACAAAAACAAGTAAAATATTAAGAAGATAACCTTAATAATATGATACTTGTGCAACAATTTATGAAATTTAATTTGAGGATCAAAATTTTGATTTTATTTGATAAATAATTGGATTTTATTAGACATAAAATAAATATATTTGATTAGTGGTTGCCACCTCCCCATCTCTCACACCTAATTAAGTTTTTAAAGCCAATAATATGCATATATTTTAATGTGTTCTTTCTACAAATATCAAAATTAATGTATCAAATTATAAAAAATTGATTTAGAAAACACCTGCTATTTAATAATATATATAGAGAGGATGTTTCAAATGCAACACATCACATTTATACAGCTAATGCAACCCAATCAATTAAGATATTTATGAAAATGATGAGAGTTTATTTATTATGATTTGAATATTTATGAAAGATGATTAATGTTCATTAATTATGATCAATACTTTATATTAAAAAACAATCAAACTTTTATGAAATCACATATTCATCATACTAAATAAATGGTTGAGATTGAATTGTTTTAGTTGTACAAATATAAATGGTTGCATAATAACTCACCTTTATATATATATATATATATATATATATATATATAGATTTTATGATTATACAATCATTGGAGAATATAAATATATTATTCGATACCAACTTCATATATATAAATCATACTTATGTGGTCTTAACAAATTCAAATTCCAAATTAAAGTTTTTTTAAAGAATAAATTAGTGTTATGGGATATTGTTGATGATTTAATTCTAATTAAAAATTAAAAGTAATTAAAAAGATTAAATGGCTCTTGTATTATTTGTTTGCAAATTTAAATTTTGTTTCGCTTTTAATCGGTGAGATTAATTAATAAGCTTGGAAATTTCTTTTTGAAAATGTTTACGTTGTCGGTTAAAAAAACAATAATCGTTAACGAAAAATGTTGATATTAGCAAACCAATGGTTGCAGATGTATTGATTACAAACTTTATTTATATGACTTAAAAACGATAACAAGGAAAGAAAAATTAAAAGAATAAAGGATACATATATAATTCTGAGTTGATAAAAAAAAATGAAAAATAATTGGGAGACACTGCAACGAAATGGGTTTATGTAATGTTTAAATGTCCTAATAAACTGTTATATATGACTTAAATTTATGGAACCAAACAATTGTGTATCATATATAAAAGTGTTACAATAACTTTATAGAAAACTTTTGGGTGTCTTAATAACTTTTTAGGACATTTCAAAAATAAAATAATAACTTGTATTATAGGAACAAAAAAGGATACATTCTAATTTTTATGTAAAAGTGTTACAATAAGTTCATATCACTTTTTTTTTAGGAGTCTTAACAATTTCTTAGGACAATTTAAAAATAAAAGATCAGATTAG